TGTGAACACTGGCTGGTTATGTACTTGCTCAAATATTGATTTCGGATCATTTTTAAGCAAAAAAAGTTATGGACTGCAGCTTTAACATTCAACAATGATAAGCCATGGTTCACAGCAAAACACAAGACAGCTTCGCCAGGCCAAAGAGGATGCCTACAGGAGTGGAGACAGAATCTTGTACAATACGGCCAGGAACACACTGACAAAAGAGATTAGAGTGGCTAAGAGAAACTACTGAAAAAACAGTTTTCAGCCAATGACCCTGCTTTGGAGTGGAAAGGCCTGAAAGACATTACAAACTACAAGACACCATCCCCCAGCACTGCGGCGAATCAACAACTTGCTGAGGACCTGAATGAGTTTTACTGTAGATTTGAAACTCCCAGTCTCACACCCCACACCCATTCTGACCATCTCTCTACACAAACATTAACACCTCCATCAACCCCCTCCCCTCTCCTGCACTTCAGATCAGTAAAGATGATGTGTGTCAGATCTTCAGGAAACAGAAGAGAAGAAAAGCACCAGGCCCAGACAGTGTTTGACCAGCCTGTCTAAAAACCTGTGCTGACCAGCTGGCCTCCATCTTTTTTTACAGATCTTCAACAGATTTATTTCCTGAATATTACTGATGAACTGATCAAAAAGTAGGCTTCTGTTCACATGCGTTTTACTACTATATAGTATAGTAATATAGTAATAATTTAGTACTTTCTCCTGTTTTATTGTGAGAGACTTATCTGTTGGCTTATCTGAAGAACATCACTGGACCCTTACAGGATCCACTGCAATTTGCTTACCGAGCAAACAGGTCTGTGGAGGATGCAGTCAACATGAGACTGCATTTCATCCTGCAGCATCTGGTAGTGAGACTGGGGAAATTCATGTCAAACAGCTGCACCACCAGCACTGGTGCTCAGGGTTGCGTTCTCTCCCCACTGCTCTTCTCCCTGTAAACCAATGACTGCACCTCTACTGACCCCTCTGTCAAGCTTCTAAAGTTTGTGGATGACACTGTAGTCATCGGCCTCATCCAGGACGGAGACGATTCTGCTTACAGATAAGAGGTTGAGCAGCTGGCTGTCTGGTGCAGTCTTAACAACCTGGAGCTGAACATGCTCAAAACAGTGGAGTTAATAGTGGACTTACGGAGGACCCCCCCTGCACACCCCCTACTCACCATCATGAACAGCACTGTGGCTGCAGTAGAGTCATTTAGGTTCCTGGGCACCACCATCTCTCAGGACCTGAAGTGGGACAATCACATCGACTCCATTGTTAAAAAAGCCCAACAAAGGTTGTACTTCCTTCGCCAGCTGAGGAAGTTCAACCTGCCACAGCAGGAGCTGATCAGGGAGAGGAACATTTCACCGACATCTCCTCTGTTGGTAAGCCTGGACATTTGACCTTCAAAGGCTGTTGACCACTTTAGTGTGATGCATGAAACTTCAACCTTTTTTGTCTAAGCTGAATCACGCTGTTCACATATCCTGCATGATTTGTTCAACACAACAATAGAATGATTTACCATGTTATATATTAAGTACAGAATTTTTGTTTGTTAATAGTTAGCAAAAAGAGAAGAAATTATATCCCTTGCTAAATAATCAACTGAAAGTTCTACAGAGTTTCTCAGATTAGCTCAGATGTGCCCATTAGGTAAAGTGAGTGAATAAAACAGAGAAGGGAAAGCAGGATCAGGTGACCTAAAATCAGTCACGCTTGAGTAGATATACTCTTGTATTAGAAATTTACAAGGCTGATAGAATTATTTAGAATCTCGAACACTTATGTGTCTCAGCATTACTCTAAGCTGAAAATGTAATGCCATCTAAACAAAATTCTATTCGTATTCCCATCTATATTATTTATTGTTACCTTAGAAATGAAGTTACAGACAGTAGTAGTCTGATCTTTAGTCTGAGTGTCTTCCCATAATGTTTTTGAATGTATTTTTCATCTCTCTAGCACCACCTGGATCACCTTTTGCCCGAGCTAGTTTGAAAAGCAGTAAGAATGATAGCTCTTCATACTTCCGTCGAAAGGAAAAGAGGGTACGCTTTTTCATCCGGCGGATGGTGAAGGCACAAAGTTTCTACTGGATCGTTTTGTGTTTGGTGGGACTGAACACGTTGTGTGTGGCCATTGTCCATTACGACCAGCCTGAGTGGCTCACCAAGGCCCTGTGTAAGAG